AGAAAATACATACATACATCCAAAATACATTGATACTATTTATTAACTAGGAATATATTATTATAGTATGTGAACAGATTTAGTAAATGCTGCTGCACAGGATTGCTGCCAACAAAGTTTTGTTGTGTTCTATTATACAATGACAATAAAGACTCTATCTATCTATCTATTTATTTTAATAGCTGTTGCCACTTTAGCCTAAAAGTCCAGACAGTTAAGAAGATTATTTCTTAGAATTAGGCTTAACTCCAATTCAGGGCAGAAGAAGATACAACAATAACTGTATCATCACCTTAAACTGGATATATTGACTACAGGTTTACATGTATTACATTACAGGAACATACATTTATTACCTGGACTGGTTTGGTACTTTCGACTACAGGTTTGTGCAGGACATGAGTTGTCCTCTCTTTAAATTCACTTCAGATGAGCTATAGTTTAAACAGTTAACACAAAGTGAAGACAAGATCAGGCTCATGCCAGATGCCAGCTTTATTACTGTATGTTGGCCGTTAGCCAGTGACTCACTGAATAACAACTTACACTTGTCAAGAGGAAACGAGGCTATTCTTAGAGAGCTATTGTAATCAAGAGATTTGAATTCATTTCATCTATCCGCTGCTGTGTTCTACAAGTAGATTGGAAACGACTTCCTGAGCCATTAAAGTTGAGGAAAGATGGTGATCATGCCTCGGGAAAAGATCTGACTGTACTGTATGCTGTGTTCAGCTCCAAGCAGCTCGGCTGGCAGCTGTCCAAGCTAAGCTAGCCAATGAGTCACCTCTCTAAGAGCTCCAACCATAACAGCCAACGCTCCCCCAATATTCTTGATTAGAGCTGAATGCTCACTCTGCTCGGTTGGCCAAAAAGGCTTTTATTCTTTTGTTCTTTGCTAAGACATGACACAGATCCTGTTTCAGTTTACTGATTAAGGAAACACATATTTAATAGCTAACTCAGGCATGAAGAAGTGAGAAAAAGATGCATCTGCTTGGTGTGAAAAAATAACGTGTTTAAAATGCAATGCAGTGTTGTGTTGACCTGTGAGATGTAAGAAAATGACCAAAAACTAAATGTAATCCACTTGAATGGCTCTAAACTGCATGGAGACTTTATAACACTTGTGGAGAAAGCTGACATTTAGTGAATTGATTTTGTTTTGACATTTTGCATTTAGTTTTCCAGTAATGAGTTGATGTTGTTAGAGAGCCCATCAGTGAATTAAAAAAGCTGTTTGATATGTTTCACTAAAATAGAATAATCAGTTAGCTAATTGAAAGATATATTAGGATGTTGCAGGAATGAAATGTGACCGTTTGTACATTAGAAAGCTGGTTTTCATCTTACTTTGACAGATATACAAGCAGTGGTTCTATTTCAGACGTAGCATTTTGAAACAGGCCAAATCTGCGATGCTTCTATTCTCATCATCTAACCAGATTGAAAGCTTACAGAAGATTTTAAGCAAGCAGCCTAATGCTCTATGTGTGCTAATGTTGCTGGGTTGTTTCATCACTTTGGTATTTGATTTGAATTTAAACACTTTTTGAACTGAAGGTAAAATGGACAATCACAATGCAATGTTTAGTTCATTTTACCAAATCATAGCACTCGTCAATATAATAAGATCAGGAACAATAAGATGGTAAACATTATTGCTTAACATCAGAATGGATTGTAATTATAAGATGTCAACATTTGCATTTAAGTGAGAGCCCTGCTCTGCCAATAATGCAGCCCTTTCATTCTTTAATTGAGGCTCAAAGGCGAAGAGATACCATCTGGCAAATTATGCAGTTGCTTAAATGCATATATGTTTGGGTTGAAGTGCACATATATCTCCCGTTTACCCTGTGATCCTTGTAATGAAAGATTAAAGAATGGTAAAGAGTGGTGATTAGTATTTGGCATCATGGTAACAGTTTAAATGCAGGGATAGCCTCAAACTGGACTTTATAAATTATATATGTCTGACTCTGAGAGGTGTCTGGATCAACACACCACCGCCTACGCAGCTTGTTGTTGTTGTTGTTTTTAACACAGATATATGCTGGTATATATAAGTCTGTGCCAAAATATACAGCAGACCAGAAGACGATCAATAAGTGACATTAGATTGATTCATACCTATGATGTTTAATCCTGGTTTCCTGTTGCTGATTCACATCCCACCTCTTCAGAAACTGAATTTCTGGAGCGTTGAGACAAAACACAGCTTTTGTCTTTAACTTTGTAGTTTCTTAAAAACACCCACTGTAATGGATTTATATATTGAATTTGTGCATTTATGAAGTGCTTCAGGGAGAGTGAGTAAGTCACATGAGGTCAAGTTTTCAGTTTTACTTTGTAAAATTAAAAGTGAAAAGTCACTGATACCCCCCCCCCCAGCTGTCAATAAAGAACTACATGCTTACCATGCCTAATTGAAATTAGAGTTTATTTCATGCCGAGCTGCTCCATGAGAATAAAAAATGTGAGCGGACTGCAGACTGACATTTTATGTAAGTTTATGTAAGGTGACGGGTTTACAGGTGACAGTTCAAGCAAAGTGCTGAAGGAGGCTGCAAGAGGAGGAGGCAATAAGAATTATACACGTTTATGATTGTTGTTACAATATATGATCTTGTATGTGTATGTAGGTGAGCTGTTTTATTGACAGCATGAAATCAATGAAAGACAAACCACTAACTGTGCTAACATGCTATTTTGTAAATAGGTTTTTGAATCTACTTCTACCTGAGTAGATGTCCCATTCTAGCAGCAGAAAGTCCAAACGGAAGCTCGGGCGAACATGTTGCATCACACTGTACCTCCTGGGCGAGCAGAAAAAATGAGTTAGACATTGGCACGATTTTGAACCTCTGCCGTGTCATTGGTAAATGTTATGGTTAAAACATATCACATATAAAATGTCGTTTTCATTTCCTTGACTCTAAAAAGGTCCAATTTCAAAGAGTAAATTGCAAACAGAGACGAAACCTTGACTTTGATGCATTCCCTGCAGACTGAACATAATGATGAAAAATGAGGCGCCAATTGAGTCAAGTTCTTAAAGCAAGTTTAAATCCATCTGTGCCGTGGTGGCAAGCAGGATGTACTTAAAGTTTGATACACAGCAGAAAAACTGTGACACAGGCAGTCACTGGCAAAGCTCAGCGTCGCAGTTTTTGAATCTTCTACTTTCTCTTTCGACATATTAAAAGACACAAAATATTCAAGAAAATACAAATGCTATTTCAGTCCTTCCAAAACTTGCATTATTCCTCGTTACTATTTTAAACAATTCATTGCAATCCCTCAGGACTATTCATATTGTTCGCAGTGAGGAGACCTTTATAAGCATACTTTTCTCAAAGCTGTTTTTATTTGTGTTTACAGATCTGTAGGTTATGGAAAGAAATCGTCTCAGTAACTGCAGCTCAGTTTATTTTATGCAACCTTCAGCTTTCGGTCAAGATAAACTGGTAATGAGGAAGTTAAATAGAGAAGATGTTGAAGAGACAAAGGTTGTAGAGCTCTGCCAACTACTACTGTACACAAACACACACACACACACACACACACACACACACACACACACACACACACACACACACACACACACACACACACACACACACACACACACACACACACACACACACACACACACACACACACACAGAAAGAGAGAGAGGGCTATAGGTTCAACCAGCCAACCAAGTCTATATTGACTTCTCCACTTCTGTTGGAATAATTGGAGAAAACAAGTCCACAGTGGAGCTTTATCAGTGCAGCATTTTTCTTAACAAACTCCCCGACCCAGACACAGTCCCCCATCTATTTTTTCGTAAATTCCTCTGAACTAGTGTGCAACGTTCAACAGCTGAATTAGAAAAAAAGGGGGGTTTCCAAGCATCTACACATGTAAGAGAAGGGAAAACAGAGCAGGATCATTCCTGGAAAGGAAAACATAACCTTTGGAAGTTGTGATTTCAGACATAAGGGTCTGAATACAAAGACGTTTTTTCTCTTTACATCAGCTTGAAGTTTGACTTTTCAATAATGCAAAGTAATATTTCAAGGCAGAATGTTTACAGTAGGTCTTCTACCCAATCCTCATCTTTCATCGAAACTATGAATTTAATTTTTTAAGTTAAATGATGAATTGTTGTGTTTTATAAAGAATTTCCCATCGCACTACTTCCAAGAGTATATCCAAAGAGTTTCCAAAGCAGAAAAAAAACCACACAGAAACAGTCTGTTCTATGTATACCAGTTCTATTCATCATGACCAAAGAACTTGTATACATGGTTATCACATATCACTTTCTGATGGGGAAAAATGGGGAAGTTCCCTGCTTTGAATAAGACTTATGTAAAATGCAGACTAAAGCTTCTGCATGCATCCATGAGCTTAACCGTGGTGCACTGCTGCATGTGTTGTGTTTCTTGTCATATATGAATGTTTCTGCACACTTTGTCGTGTGGCTTTGTGCATCTCAAGAAGCATGAGTGCATCCATATTTTCTATGACAGCATGAGTATAAATAAGAATATCAATTTCCCAAAGACCATGATGCAGCCATATGTCGTTTAATTGACATAATTCAGACTGTACCAGCACGTAAAACTAAGAGGGGTCTTTGAATCAGCAAAGTGCTTGTAATGTAATAAGCACTCTCTTCTAAATGGAGCCTTGACTCCATTTAAAAGAGGGCAGAAAATATGTGTGCACTCTTGCTTAAGGCTTTCATCTTGCATATAAATCACTCCAGCTCAAAGTGGGTGTTTGAGCACCACAGATTTCAGGTCTTGGGGGCCCGCACTATATCAGCGGCCAAGGCTGCATTAATTACAAAGCTGTGCCATGGCATGAAGTAAATTAAGCCAATTCCAAATATTCTGAGAGCAGAAAATTTTGAAACGGAGGCTTTCTTGGCTCATTTAAAAAGCTTATCTTGGCTCTTATTTTTCTTCCTCTTCTTTCCATTTTTGTGTTTCCTGTCTTTGTTTAGATTCCGGGCCAGCTGAGTGCTCTTACGTTGTACAGGTGTGAGCAGTCGGTTCTGGATTATTGCCATGCCCACCTGTCGCTGCACCTCAATATGGGCATGGAGCCCCCGACTCAGGCACTGGGAGATCTGAGGTCAGCCAGGTACCACCCGGGGATAATGGCTGCCCTCCCCTCTGAGCCTGTGCTGCCTTGCCCCCAGACCCACTCCCTCCACCAGTGAGCTGGGGCAAAGAGGCTCCAGACTCCTGTATGTATGCTGCACAGTCAGTGGACCACTCCGAAAAAAATGCAAGGCTATGTGCGAGAAACTGGAACTGGTCAAGAAGCAAAGGAGACAATTAATCTTCCTGGACTGAGAGTAATGAAAATGAAAATATTTCTCAGTGGAAATAAAGGGTTGCAGCGGTATCGATTTGTGAGCCTCTCACCTACCTGACCCTCAGTGTCCTCAATTAGCAAAGGAGGCTGAGCAGCAGCATGACTTTCCACGTTCTGCTCTGCCTCCTGAGGAGTATTAAGGATAATAATTTAATGATTTGTTAATCTTATTAAACATTTTTCCTCAGCTTCTCCTCGTCCTGGCAACTCTCTGCTGCGTCAGGTAAAGTAATCACATGCAAAATGGTAAGAAGAGAGCGGGGGAACAGCATGATAAGTAATTGAGTAGCAGAACAAATGAAAGATCAGCCAAGCTAAAAGGTTTGCTGCTGCTTTTTCTGATCAGGTTGTCAGTCAGCGGTCTCTCTCCAACTCAAATCCCCTGTTGCATTTTTTCATCTCCAGAAAGGAGACGCCCTAATGAAATCACCCAAGACGAAGGAAAGAAGAAAATAACGGACTTTAATTGTCATATAAAATGTACAGCCTACACATCTTGCCGGCAGTAAGTTGAATTTACATGGTGACTTTTGATTTCCTAAATGATTTGGGATGTTTATCACATCATAATTTAATTAATCAAGCTGAGAAATAAACAGATGCAAAATAAACAGTAAGTTCAGATCTGGATGCACTGGGATTTCTGATGTTTACTTTACATCATCCATTTAAATCACTCTTGTAGTTAATGGTTTTTTTTTAAGTGTGTTCTTCTACCAACTTTCTGATTGTGCACTCATATATCTACATGTGTGTGCTTTTTACAAGATGTTACAATATAATATATGGTCAATAAACTGTGGTAACTGACCGGTACTGGTGTCATTCCTCAAGATCAGTGGTTTAAACTCAAACACTGTCTGCGTCGGTGTTTGAGACTGAAGCACTGAAGGCACGACTGATTATGTGTCTGTTTTTACTGATCAAGACCCTGATAGTAATGTTGCATTTCTCTCCCCTTGTTACTGTTTGTTACTGTTATCGTGACGAAATACAGATTACTGGACTCTCTGAACCTGGCTCGTAGACTTTTATGGACTTTCTATGTTTGTATTAAGCAGGAGAAGAAAACTAATGTACGAGGAAAAAAACCTCAATTAGGTCATAGATACTGAAAGGTAGACGCTCCGTGTTCTTCACACGCAGAAAGTGTGTTTTCAAAATAGTGGATGTGAAATGTGAAACAATCTAATTGGGATTTTTGTCAGTGGGGAACTGACTTTAATTTAAGCCAGTCCTTTGAAGAGAAATTGTCTTAGCATAGCTTAAAGAGGTGCAGCTGACCTGTCAGGTGTTGGACTTAAAACACACGTTGAGATGTTGTTCGTCGAGCTGTGAGAGATTTAGCCTCCGCAGTTTAATAGTGAGGAGAGTCTTTTCCTTTTAAATTCTTGGTTCCCACATTAGCCTATGCTTAATAATTAAAGTTATCAGAGTGTTTATCTGCTCTAATGCAAGCTACAACCGTTAGCATCCCCATCTAATTAGCTTGCTAATGTGAGACGGGGGAAATTGTTTATGTGGGGCAATTGTAACAACTCCAACTGTGCCAATCAGAAGCAAGATGGAACCATGAAACTCACAATGTGTGCCGTCTTTAATGAAGCTTTTAGTCAGATAAGCCTGGTTTTGCTACCTGGAGAACTTCAAAAGAATATGGGATCATGTGTCAAGTGCCAAACATGGCATGATGGAGCAACACTTAAAATGTAGTTTTCTCTTTTGGTAATCCATCCATCCATCCATTAGCTATATCGCTTTTCCCGTTCTGGGTCTCAGGGGGTCTCAGGGGGGCTGGGGCCATCCCAGCTGACATTTGGCTAGAGGCGGGGTACACCATGGACTGTTCACCAGCCATTCAGCTGACATATAGAGACAGACAACCAGCCACACTCACATTCACACCTACGGGCAATTTAGAGTCACCAATTAACTTAATGAGCATGTGGGAGAAAGTCGGAGACCCCGGGGAAAACCAACGCATGCACCGGGAGAACATGTAAACTCCACACAGAGAGGCTCTGACCAACAGGGATTCAAATCAGTAACCTTGTTGCTGTGAGGTGACAGCACTAACCCCTGCACCACCGTGCAGGCCCACTTTTGGTAATGCAATAATTAAATATAATTGCAACTTGATGTTGGTATTTATTATTGCTAAGTATGCAATAAGCCATAGTGGTCTAACCTTCTCAGATTTCCAACTTGTTGCAGTTTGTTTTTGTAAAAACCTGCGCAAATAAGATTATCAGAAACCGCAATACTTGAATTAATTATGTATACAGGAAAATAAATAACCAGGTTTCTCTGTGTGCGTGTAAACGCTGCATGTCCTTTATATGGTCAAAACCTGGGTTTAAGCTCATAACCGGTATACTCCAGTCCATGTAAGCGCAGACATTGCTAGCAAAAATATTTGATAATTCTGAACATAGAAAAGAAGGCTAGTGCCAACATGTTTTTTTTTTAACCCAGATATCTTCTTTTGACATCAAAACCATTTTTTTTTTTAAATTTTTACAATTTCCCCTGTTTTCCCCTACAGTGATACTGACTTTGAGCATTTCATTATTTAGGCTACTATATTTTTAAGTTTACAGGTTTTGCTGGACAAAAATCATTCTTCACATCAGCAGGAAGTATGCCCCCACTGCATGGCAGCTAGCCCTGGATCCAAATAAGTCAGTGTGATATTGTTAGCAGCTCTGTCCTGCTCCTGTTGTACTGTTGGATTTAAGGACATTCACACTCAAGTAACCCCTGTCAAAGTCATTAGCAAAAATAGCATCATGTAAATCCTCGCCATTAACGCTTTTTTCTTTAGACATCAAATGAGAAAAATGCTTTCCAAATACAGACAGTAAAAAATAAAAATAATAAAAAAATAAAATCAAACTTTTATCATTCTTGTATCATAAGGGAGATTAGCTCTCAACACTGCTATAAGTATGTTAATTCTGTTTTCCCTTTTCTTCTACATTTGGGTTCAGCAGACGAAGACTTTTTTTACTCTGACATGCAACATTAGATTCTTCAGATTCATTTAGATTCATTAGAATCTTTCAACAAGACAACATGTGAGCTGTGAACCCTTCATACTCAAATGACAGATTGTATTTTTAAGTTAAAATAAAGCGCAGGTTTAGCTTATGGAGACTTCATTTCGCACTGGTGACGTGGGGGCTCATTGAACCTTTATTCAGAGAGGACAGTGGTCTGAAACTGAGGAGAGATAGAGTCGGGAATGACATGCAGGAAAAGGAGCCACAGGTCAGACTCCAACCAAGGGGAGGACTGTGAAAAATGTTTGCACAAAGGAGTTAACGGCACAAGTCGCACAAAATTGTCTATGGCTCGAGCTGTAATTGCCTGTGGCCTGCATTGTTCTGTTAGCAGGCTAATGTTAGCACATTATAGTAAGCTCATAGCTTCATGTTGCACATGAATTGACACGGAATGAGCGTGATCTAAAAACGATTATGTGACATCCAAAATAGAGTGAGATGTTATTCTTTCTTTTCCCTAGTCTTTTATACTCAAGGGGAGGAGTCAACTGTCCTGTCCATATAAACCTGATCTGAATATGGCTCCGACAACAACAGAGACTCGCACTTCTCACTCATTCCAGACAGTCATGACTCAGACAGATATTTACATAGGATACACACATTCTTCCTTTAACACTGGTTTATTAAAATGTTGTCCTTTTATAATGGATGTACGGTACCTCAAGTTTATTGTAAAAACTCATCCATTGCCGATCATTCAACAGTAAACCAAATGTGCTTTGAAGCTGACTGTATCCAACCAGTCATCTCATTCCAAAGAAAAAATGAATGATGCCTTGTTTGTGTACCACTGCAGATGGTTGTGTGTCAGATTTTCAATGAGTCCTAAATAAGTGACATTTCGTAAGCAAGCTGCCTTGTGTTCCTCTTTGAACGGAAACACGGGTTTATAAAAAAAAGAAAAAGAAAAAAAAAGGCAGTGGCGAAGATATATCTGCTTATGACAACTGGCTCTGACACATGACAGATTCACGCTGCTGGAAGATTTACTGCTCTGTGGCTGCACACACGAAACAGTTTAACGACTCTGATAGATCGCATATTTACTGCACTCGCTCCAAGTGTTCAGATGAGGGTTTGTAGAGAGAATGAGGACGGAAAGAAGGAGCGACCGATGTTCAGACTTATTGGCTCACATGCATTTGAACTAACAGGCTGATGTCTCATAATGCTTCACTCAATATCAATGTCTGGAGCTGTTCTTTCTCTACAACTTTTACCCACAAACTATGGGAAAAGAAGAAAAATATACACCCACACAACATCTTAATTCAACTGTGTGACTCATAAAATCACAAAAGAAGTGCAAGATACTTCAATTCCTTGGTTTATCTGAAAGCAGAGAAGAAACGCTCTCACTTGAAGCCTTGAACTGATTCAACTAATTCTAAGAATTAAGAATAATAGGCTGAAAAACAGAATACAAAACATTTGGAAATGCAAACTCTTCAATAGGTGCACAGGGGTAGTGAGGTGTGTGTGCGTGTGTGTGTGGTGGGGGGGGATGAAGGCTTGCAAACAGATTTTTGTTTCCTCCTGGCTGTTATTTATGTTCAATTCTATCCCAGTTCTACTCCTCAGATATGAAAAGTGTCCAGGTAATGGCAGGAGCTGTTTTGGGTTTGTTATTCACTTGACATTTTATCTATTTGGACAACATATCGGTCTTTCTGACAGTCTGTTGGCACTCTGTCGAAATCAGACCCGAGCCATTTCCCCACTTCTTCTGAGCTGTCAGAAGTGAGACAGACAATGTACGCTTGATACTATGTGGAGCTTAAAATCCTCTCATCCCTCATTCTGTTCCATTGATTTCATCCAGTGATCTTATTTCTGCGGGGATTCGGGACTTCATCGAGAAAGCTCCCTTCTTTACAAGAGTCATAAAAGCCCTTATACACCAAAGGATAAGAAGTCTGAAAAATCATGAAAGCTTCTTCTTTTTATGTCCCTTTTACACTACTTTACAATCTCCTGTGATTAAAATACAGCAACTCTGTGGACTTGTTTACTTAGATTATCTAAAATTCAATAAAACAGGGCCAGATGTCCTGCTCTGGGTATAGTCTAATCTATATTCCCTCCATGGTTGCACAGAGTGGTAAAAACAAAAACAAGAGGGAATAGTTGCCTTTCAGGACTCGAACAGCTCATCTCAAACCTGCAGGGTGAAGCTGTACTCATTTTAAGTTGGGTGTATTTATCTGGAAACAGTCAGCTTTGTCTCTGAACTTTATTCGATATATTTCAATTTAAGGTCAAGCTAAAGTTTGGGTCCGTCTCAGTCCACCTGCACGTTGCTGTGTCATTTTGAAGTTGTGTTGCCACTGCTGGCGGCTAGGGCAGCTGTGAAAGCTCTTGATTTCCCCGGAGAGCCACACAGCCGCTTTGCCCACACTTTGAGATTACCTTTACCATCTCACAAGCTCACTATGACACTGTTGCTGCTAGTTTATTTTAAAACTGTCTCCTGAATCACGAGGCAATCGACTGCTTCCCTGATACATTTTAGGGTCAAAGGTGTGGCAGCCTTTCAAGCTCCCCATGACTCATCAGTCGGTTTGCATCTTAGTCGGTTTAATAAAGAGATCGTTCTGAAGTGAAGGATTCTATAACTCCCACATGCTGATGTTAGTCTGCATTTCACAAATCAAAACTTTTTCAGAGAAGGCCATCATTATTTTGTGAGGTGAGAGGACCCAACCCAAGCCCTCTCACTGAGCTGAAGCATAAAGGAAAGTTTGGTGTTTTTGAGGTAATGGTGACAGAGAGGTGGAGCTGAGGCGGGCCTTTAACCTCCTGGTTAACATCTACAACACCTCCACCTGTCAGGCAGATCAGCCA